TGAGCTCTTCCCACAGGCACATGCCCAGGTTGTGGGCTCGATCCCCAGTAAGGGGTGTGCAGGAGGCAGGAGGCAGCTGACCAATGAATCTCTCTCATCATTAATGTTTCTTTCTATCTCTCCCTCTCCCTCTGTCTCTGAAATCAATAAAATTATATATTAAAAATTTTTTTTAAAGAAAAACAGGTTTAGCAAGATTAAGTAACTTGCTTAATGTTGCATGGTTAATAGGGATTTTCTGATTCTAAACTCTTAACCACTATTCTATATAATAAAGAGCTAATATGCTAATTAGACCAAACATCAGAACGACCATCTGGATGACCTTCCGGACAACCATCCGGACAACCTACCAGACAAAGCCAGGCCTGCGAGGGCCGGCCAAGGCTGCGAGGAGCTGTGAGGGCCAGCCAGGGCTGCGAGGGGCTGCGAGGGCTGAGCCCCTTGCACAAATTTCATGCATCGGGCCTCTAGTGTTATATAATCTCCTAGTTGCTACACCATAAAAGTGTTGAATGCTACATTAAATGATCATAATCTTTACCATAAAGATTTGTATAGACTCTACGATGTTGGTGGGCACATTATAAATAATTACTACTTGCCTTGGAGAGAATAAAGTTAATAAAGTTTACATAATTGTATCACTGAGTCTTAGGGAGAATGAAGTACATTTAGTCCTACTATTGTAGAGCCCGGCTACTCAGTGTGGTCCATGCACCAGTAGCATCATCATTACTCAGAGGCCTGTAAGAAATACAGAATAATCTTGGGCCCCACCCCAGATGCACTGAATTACAATCTATATCTTAATAAGATCTCCAGATCAAGAATCATTTTTATAGAGGTCATGAACCAACAATTCTTATAGTTAAAGAGAATACATGTGGGCACAAAAGTCCTTGTCTCACTAAGTGGCACACTGGATAACCAAGATTTCATACTATCCTTAAATACTGATAATATCTAATTCATTTACCGATTTCACTGTTAGAATGTTACCAAAGTTGCCAACCTTCAACTATCTTGCATTCACCATCAGTGCAGTGAAGGAAGGAGTGATCTGTTCTAGAGTGTGAGAACGAAATGCTTGTATTCCATTGTAAATGGGAATTTTGAAATGCTAAATAAATGAAATAAAAGCAGGACAACTATTGTCCCACAAAGCCACCTATGTTAAGGACAGCGTCATGACAATGGCAAAATTTATTTATTTGGGCAGTTTTGTTTTTTTTAAACACAACTTTCTTTCTTTCTAAGAAAGAAAGATATTTCTAAGATGGTTTTTTGGTTAGTTTTATCATCATGACAAAAGTGAAACGTACAAGAAAAAGAAAATTTACTTTGTAAGAATTGAATGCTAGCAAAGCGTTTTTAGTAAACGGGGATACTGTTCTCCACACCGTCTCGGCAGCGCGGGTGGTGCCTGCCTCTGACAGCCACCTGCTTACCTGCCAGAGAACTCTGCTGGGGAAACCCCCAGCAGTCTTTCCTATAACAAGGAAAACCGAAAGTCTCTGCAGTGGAATGAAGCAGTATTTCAATCTGCCGCACAAAGTAATTCCAGAGGGTTGATGGATGAGAGGTCAGAAATGTCAAGTGTTCCAAAAATTAAATAGTTCACTCGTAAATCACTCAACCCAGGCAAGAGCAGAAATAACAGCGCTTGTCCTAACAGCCACCAGAAAGAAAGGACACATTCCAGCCACAGTGACAGCACGGCTTCTCCGTAATCCCTCGCAGCGGCATGTTTGGCAGCTCGGGCAGGACAAAGAATAGAAATGTCCATCTTAGCGGGCAGACCCCATGACATATTTCCAAAGAATAATAGAAAGAACAGCTCATGCAGACAACAAGACAAAACCAAATTTTAAAAAAAACCTGCATCTTTCAACAGAAAGATCCCAGAAATACCTCTACAACTAGAAGAGCACTAAGCATAGCAGTCACCTTGGGCTAAAAGAGACAAAGGAACGGCAAGGTGGGAGCACCTGTCTCTCCCTGATGCACACACCAAGAACGCAAAAGACGTTCAACAGGTTCAAGGTAAACAGATGTCAGCCATGACACCGGTATGCGTCACTGTGTCCAGGTACCAAAAGCTGCCGGAGGCTTCTTACCTAAGAGTGCAAAATGTCACGCGACCTTGTCTCTAGTCTTTCTTTTGTGTTTTAATTGAAAAAATGACAGTTTCTTGAATGTAAAGTGTAATTGAGAAAACTTGAAATTTAAAAACATAATTAACAGTTACTGATATGTTATGCTAAAATTTTGTGTGTTCGTGTGCGTATACATGCATATTTGGTTTGTTCGTTTTCTTCACAAATGAAAGCATGCTTTATGTACACATAGTTACTATTCTGAACCTGGTCTCTTTTGGCCAAAAATATGTTTTGGAGATATTTCTTTGTTAGCATGTAAACATCTGCCTCACTTTAAGGGACTGGATAATAATATATTGATTGAATGTCTCACCATGTATTCAGCTAGTCATAAAAACAAATTGTTTTTATTCTGTAAAATTAAAAGTAATGCAGAGACCTCTTTCTAAAGTTATCTCTGTACACGTGTATCTCTTTACACATCTATAGGATAAATTTGCAAATATAAAATTGCTGATCAAAATCTATGTTTCTAATTTTGACAGACTTTCATCAAATTGTCCTGTAAGGACATCAATTTATCCCTTGAAAGGAATGTAATCCACCAATGAAATTTAATGAGAATGTCTGTTTACACATACTCTCATCCACACTATATTGGATCTTTGGTAAATCTGATAGGCGAAATGGCATTTCATTTTTAATTTTTATTTTCAAAATTATAAATATTAACATCTATTCATATTAAGTGCCACTTGCATTTCTTTAAAAATGAATATAGATTGTTTATCTTTTGTTAATTTGTCACAGCCCATTATATTCTATATTTCATCAAATCAATACCATCGTAACTAGCTGGCTAATATTAATAATAGGAAAGGAGCAAAGGGGAGGCCACACATTGTAAGCCTGGTCCTCTGGGCAGCTGCAGCTTTACACTCCCCAGGGGAACACCGGCCCATTCCCTGCAAACCCCTGAGGGAAGGGGTCCAACAAGGGGAAGATGGTGCATGTGCAGGTAAGTCAGGGTGACATAGGGAAGGTGCTTACCCGTCAGTCTAACCGGGAACAAAGATAACTGGCTTAGGGGGTGGAGCCACTGCAAGCACGCAAAATCTTGGAAGGGTAATATCCCCAGACAAAGGAATTCCCTCTCTTGTTCCTCTTGCTCACTCCTGCTTCCTTGCACTCACCCGTGCTCCCTCCATAGCCAGGTGGCCCACGGTCGTGCGGGCCCTACACGCAGTGGAATGCAGCGGGGGACACAGGCTAACCAGCCAGATGCTGGACTGGACCGTGCAAACAGGGAGCAGAAACTCTGCTCACGGCCCTGCTAAGATAAATGGGACTTTTCCCATGGCAGGACGCAGAGAGAGGGGACCCTGGGAACTCAGGGTTCAATTCCACGGAAATAAAGCTTTCCACACTACCTCATCCCCCCTCTGAGGGCCCCAACAAATTCTTATCCCTGCAGCACCCCAAAATCCCACTTCTACTAGTAACAGGTGGGGACACAGAGCGTACCACACCGATAACAAAATCAAAGACATCATTGATTATAAAAAGAAAAAAAAACTCTGCCCATTAAATTAAAAAAGAATGCTTTCTTATCACCTATAATTTTTAATTTGAACATATTAAAATAAGCCTTTTACATTTAAGTGAGCAGATAGTTTTGCCATGTTTCCTTGTTAAACAAAGAGACGGGAAATAGAGCAAATGTCTTCAATTCAGTGTCTGACTCCTCAGAATCACTTTGCAACACTGAGTCCCCGTGTCCTCGTGTCCACGGTTTCCCCAGCAACAGTGTCTTCTGTGCAATCCAGGGCACCGGCACTGAAGCGTTCCTTAAAGACAGTTCCTCAAGGAACTGGAAGCCACCAGGGCTGGGCTCTGGGGCTGACACTGCCATTGAGAAGAGCGAGCCTGCTCTTGACTCCAGCTGCAGGAATGTCGCCCAACGAGTCTGATATCCCACCTCCCCTTCTCGCAGCCTTCTGTTTCCCACCATAATGCAATTTGGATTTTAAGAAGCTTCCCCACATTCCAGTTCTAGAAACATTGAAATATGGGGAAGATGTGAATTGTAATTAGCAAAATGCCCCATAAGGAAAACTAGTCTTTGCATTGGGGGTTGGAAGTATGTTTCTCAGTTTGGCAGTTTTATTTTGACTAAGATTTTTATCATTGAGAACATTTACATTTTCATGTGGTCAAATGCATCTTTTTTTTTTCTTTATGGAGTATGAATGTTACGTTTTGAGCATCCTCCCACCACCACCAGCAGCAGTATTATAGGAAAAAAATGCCCATATTTCCAAGGAACAGTTTTGTTAGATTTTTTTAACTTTTAAATTTGTGATCTAACAGGAGAAGGGGGCAAGTGTTTGTAGTGTGTTCAGTAAAGTGTCTGAGGTAGAATTCCAGCTTTCTTTTTTCTCAAATAACTACCCAGGTTTCCCACCGTCATCATATACTACTAGATTGTCACATCTGTGTTGGTTTATTTTATAATTTAATTCAACATTGATCTATCAATAGTCTCCTAAAGTACAACAAAATTGTCTTCTATAGTGAAACATTATGAAATGTTATAAATCTTGCAAGGCTAGTGGGCTTTCATTACTCTTCTTCTTTACGTTTTCTGCATTTTATTGGAATGCTTATTTCTCTTGAGCTTTCCAATCAGTTTAAGTTACAAACAAATCATTTTCCTCTTTTTACTGTCACAGTATTGAACTTCCATCATTTAGAGCTGCAATCTCTAGAATACCAATTTACTGTCTAAGAACAGTGCACTCACTCCGTTTACCCAGATCGCATTCTGTAACCGGGTGAAAGCTCTTTCTGCTCCCCACATGACGGCCAATAAGTCTAGTGACAAAAAGTTGAGGCAGGGAAAGCAACTTTATTTGGAAAGCCAGCAAGCTGAGCAGATGGTGGACTAGCATCCTAAAGACCCGCCATGAGAAAGTACAGAATTCAGGCTTCTCTTATGTCGGGGGAAAGGGAAAAAAGAGAGGGTTTGAGGTCAGGAGGTGGTTGATGGACACAGACATCTGGATGTCAGCAAGGGCCCAAGGGGGACAGTGAAACTTCTTTCCTTTTGGTTCACAAACTCTGGCTGCTGTGGTGCAGTCATAGAGGCTCCTTTTAAAAAACAATCATTATTTTGGTAGAAACTTCCTTTCTTCTTTGGGGACATAGTCTCAAGCAGGGAGATTGTTTCAGTAATTTCTGGGCTACAGGTTAGAGTCCTTTAATGATGAGCATATCTACATGTAGGACTAAGCAGAAGTTGCTAACTGACATGCCAGGCTTGAGCAAGATGGGGTCACAGAGTCTGGTTACTTATTCTATTACAATTTCCCACTGTCAATTGCTCCATTCCATAATCATGTGGAATTGGGGATAATGGGACATCGTCTCTCATCTGACCACTTCCTGTGATCGGGGTCGGCGAGGTGAGGTTGTGGAACGGAACAATTTGACCTGATCTATGAAATGTTCTTTATGCTTCTCTGAAACATGGGGTTTAAAGATTTACCATGGGCATTTCCCTATTTGTCTTAGGAGTCTTAGCCTTCTTAGCACAGCTCTTAATTATACAGTACATAATTATTATGAATACCATAACTATAAGAAGAAGAATGAGACATAATTTGAGAATACTACCTAGGTTCGACTGGAACCCATTCAGTTTCCTCGAGAAAAGGTCTGTGAACCAGTTTCGCATTCTATCTAACTTTGTTCTGCTCTGATGTCCTAAGGTTTGCTGGCGCCGAGTAGCCTGTTGTCCGATTTGAGCAATATGAGTCTCTACCTCAGAAGAGGAATTGATAGATGTACAGCAAGTAGCGTTAGCAGCAATACAGACTCCGCCTTGTTCAGCTAGCATGTCATCTAAAGCTATACGATTATCAAGTACAACTTTAGCAAGAGAATCCAAGGACGTCTGCAGCCCAGTGAGGGTGGCAGCCATTTCATTTGCAATGATATCTAAGGTTTTGGATAGGTTCCTCAGTACATGTTGGTGAGCTGCCACATTCCACCAAGGAAGGAAGGTGTAGCCAAAGAAATAACTGTCTCCCTCAGGGAGGTCCCGAGCAATCCTAGTGAGGAGAGTGAGGGGACTGGTCCAATGGACAGTTTCTAGAACATTCTGGACAGAGAATGGGGTTACCAAGTAGCCCAATAGGCAGGTTCCACCAACATGCCAACTGTCAAGGCATTTATAGGCCCAGGCCTCATTTTGGGATCCACAAACAAAAACGTACCCCATGGGAGCACATAAGATTCCAGTCATGTTCTGAAAATTAAGGCTGTCCCCTTGGGGAAGGTGACTCAAGATGTTTTCTAACCAGGGGTCAGTGCGAGGCAGGGTCCATGATGGAGTCATATGGCAACTCTGTAAGGGGGTGGGGGTGCCCTTCAGGTGTGTCGCGTTTTGATCCCTCCAGGTTCTGCATAGTTCAGTAGAAGCATAGGCAGAGGACAGATTTGCACATCGTTGTCGAATCAAAGGGAGAGAAACGGGGTCAGTGAAATATGTCTTATTATACTGACAAGCAACAGTAGTTCTTCCATGGGGCGTGGTCAAATTCTTGTGCCCCAAGGACTCAGGCTTTTGACAGTATTTACCTGGAACCGTGGCTGTCAAGCTCTCAGGTGGGGTGAGGAAGAAACAAGGAACAGGAAATTCGTAACTAACAAGCCTCACTCGGTAAACAGCATTAGGGAATTTCATGTCATAAGTGACTTGGAAACTCGGGATCTGAGAGAAATTTAAAACGGGCATGACCAGAGGGTCCGCAGAATCAAGCCCGGAGGAAGGTTTGACATGACAGAGCCAGTAATGGGATAAGTTAGCGGAGGAGGCTATGGATTGAGAGATTCGAACGAAGGAATTGTCCTTCCACGCGGGGGTGCAGCTCCAGCAGAGGGACAGGACACACAACGCAGCCCAGAGCCTCATGCTACTTATCTTGTTCATGAAAGAGTCGCGTTAGGTCTCCTAGGGGCTCTCAAGTCCTAGAAGAGGAGGGACTTCTGGCGGCGCCACCTTTATTCCCGTGTGATGTGTCTGCGGCTTCCGTCCAGCTGATGGGCAGGTGAGTGCGTGTTTAGCAGAACCCTGAGGCTCCCGTCCACTTGGCAGCCAGGTGCTGTTCAGGTCCCTTTTCTCTCCAAGTCTGAAGGAGGACTCGATCTCGCAGGCGAAAGGGGTGCAGGGTCACATCAACAAGATACGCAGACCTGCTGGAGGCAAACTCATGGACAGGAGTTCGAATCGTGCCTAAAGTCTTAACACAGCTATTGCCAGATCTCGCAAAGCACCGGCTGTTTCACCTGCTGGGGCAGAGACCTGGGATGGCCGACCAGACAGAATTTCAAAGGGGCTTAAACTAAACCTGCGTCGGGAGCCATCCTAATCTGCAACAGGGCAACAGCCACGCCTTCCCTAAGTCATATGGGTTTCCTGACATATTTTGGCAACATTCGTTTTCTCGGTTTTTTTCCTGTTGACTGTGGTCTCTAGGAAGAATGTCATTTCCAGTTGATAGGCAGCATTTACCTGCCGAGTGATATTGGGAATGAATGTGGGCCCCTTGTCACTTTGAAGGGTGTTTGGCAATCCGAACCGAGGGATGCTCTCCTTCAGAAGGGCTTAACTACTCCACAGGCCTTTCCAGTTCAGGCGGGGTAGGCTTCTACCCATCCTGAAAAGGTGTCTGCAAACACTAGCAAGTACCTAAAATTTTCAGAGGCTCGAGGCATTTGAGTAAAGTCTATCTGCCAGTCCTCACGGGGCACACCCCCTTTATGTTGAATTCCCGTCTGTGGAGGCTTAGCAGCAGTTCTGAGCACAGATCTCACAACACTGTATAATTTGTTGAACAGTCTTTTGCAAATCAGGCCCCATTGTATGTTTTTGGATCTATTGCAAGGTGGCCTCACCTAAGGGGTGTCGTCATGTTTGTGCCAGAGCACAGCACTCAGGATTGTCTCTGGCAATCAGAAGAGTCCTTGTGCATTGCCTGTCCAGCTTGGTCAAAAGTGAATCCCCATTCCTTGGCTCTTTGTCTTTGTTTAAGTATACCAGCTGGTACTGAGGCAAGGCAGTCTGAGGGAGGAGAGATCCTACCAAGCCTAGATAATCGCCTTCCCTTGCTGCCTTCTCTGTGCCCTGGTTGGCCAATTGATTTCCTTTGATTGTATAGGTTTCACCCTGCTGATGGCCAGGGCACTGCATGATGGCCATGTGTGCGGGTTGGTGGCCTGTATCTAACAACAGCAGAATCTCAGAAGCATATTTAATATCTATGTTATTGGCAGTGAGTTGCCCTCTTTCTTTCTAAATGGCTCCATGGGCAAGTCCTACTAAAAAGGCTTCCTGGGAATGTGTGTGTATATACACACACACACACACACACACACACATACATACATACATATTTACCTGTTTTCCTTCAGCCAGAAGCAGGGCTCTTGTGAGAGCAATGGTTTCCGCCTTTTGTGCTGACCTCCCAGGGGGTAAGGTTTTTTGCCTATAAAGTTCTTTGTAAAGTCACCACCGCGTAACCCCAGAGCAAAGCTTACCTTGGTCCATGAAGCTACACCCATCGGTGAAGAGCTTTAACTCTCGTTCTGCTAACTGGTCAGTCAGGTTCGGCCAGCGAGAATATCCTTGCTCGACGACATGTTCTGGAGTTCACAGAGTCTCAATCCGGAGCAAGTCTCATTGCGTTTAAAGCTGATGTTAATCGTAGCCTCACATTAGGATCGCCTAAAAGGATGGCTTTGTACTTTCCCATTCCTCCTGACGCACGCCAATAAAATCCCTTTCCCTCCAATAAGGAGAGGACGTGGTGGCAGCTGTACATGGTGGTAGGCTGCCCCAGGGTGAATTTCTAAGCAAGTAGCTGCAACGGCCGAAGCCAGGGGGCCGTCGTTTACGGTGTGGTCTAGCTGCTGCAGAAGTAAGCGACCGGTCGTGGAATGTTGCCCAAGTTTGTGTCAACGTGCCAAGACTGATGCGTTGTCTCTCGCAGACATACAAGTTGATTAGCAAGTCTGATAACCCTAAAGCTGTGGCTAAAATTAACTTGTCCTAAGTTGTGTCAAAAGCTGCTTGGCATTCTTTAGTCCAAGTAAGAGATTCCAGAGCCTGTCTTTTTAAAGCCTCATAGATTTTACGACGAGTCTGTAATTTGGAACCCAAATTCGACAGAATCCTGCCAGCTTCCCAAATGCCCTCTATGAGGTCTGCAATTGACTGTTTCTGTCAGGCAGTAGATCGCTTTGACTTTGGGACAGGGAGATGCCCAGGTAAGTAACTTGGTGTTTACATATCTGGGCCTTTCTCTGAGAAACATTCAGCCGAATGATTCAGTCTTAATAGAATGTTCAAAGTGGAGCTTGCTGTCAATGCCATTCACATACTGAAGTAAAAAGTCCTTCATCTAACATAAGGTCCCCAAGATCTTTAGCCAGTATTTCCCAAAATAAGGTGGGAAGTTTGGTTTGTTTTTTTAATTCCAAGAGTATATCTTTTTTTTAAATTACATTTTACATTCAATATTATTTTGTGTTAGTTTCAGGTGTACAGCACAGTGGTCAGACAATCATACACTTACAGGGTGCTCCCCCGATATTTCCAGTACTCACCTGGTACCATACATAGCTATTACAATATTATTCACTGTATTCCCTATTCTGTACTTTACATCCCCATGAATATTTTATAACTACCAATCTGTACTTCTTAATCCCTTCACCTTTTTCACCCAGCTACCCAAACCCCCTCCCCTCTGGCAGCCATCCGTCTGTTCTCTGTATCTATGAAGAGATGGAGAAATTTTTGAATCCCTGTAGCAAAACTGTCTGGTCATACTGCTGGGTTTCCTGTGTTTCTGGGTCTTGCCATTCAAAGCAAACAACTGCTGGAATTCTTTGGCAACTGATATGCAGAAAAGTCCACCCTTCAAGTCCAGTACTGAAAACCATCCATATTGGTGAGCGAAGTATATGAGTTGGGCACCACAGAATGCACGTCCTGAACTATTTCATTTATAGCTTAATATTACATAAATCCTGTTAACTTATATTAAATTTGCACCTCAGCAATTTACTATTTTATTGCTGCTATGAATAGGTTTATCCAACATGTTTTCTAACTAGTTATAATTAACATATAAGGAAGCTATTCATTTTGTGACCAGGCTGATCACTCCAAACTCTTCTTAGTTTTAATACTTTTTTTAGTTTATTATTTTGAGGTTTCTAAGAATACAATCATATTTTTATAAAAATTATAATTTTGCCTCAACTTTCAGTTTTTAAGACTCTTTCTAAAATTTATTGAATACTAGAGGCCTGATGCACGAAGATTCGTGCAAGAATAGGCCTTCCTTCTCCTGGCTGCCAGCACCACCTTCGCTCCGGCCAGAGCCGCCTTCCGCCTCTTGCCTTGTCGCATCAGTTTGCATATTCCCTCCTTATTGGCTGTGGGCACCACCATCTTTGTTGTGAAGTTATGGTCAATTTGCATATTCCATCTTTATTAGATAGAATAATTTACTGATATGGACACAATAATATATATATATATATATATATATATATATATATATATATATATAAAAAGCTAACTGGCCGGTAGGTATAACATGCACTGACCACCAGGGGGCAGACACTCAATGCAGGAGCTGCCAAGCGACAGCAACTTTGCAGAGTGCCCTCTCGCACTCTGGGACCCCTCAGAGGATGTCGGACTGCTGGTTTCAGCCCAATCCCCACACCCGGCCGAGGGACCCCACCTGCCAGAGGGACCCCACTCACTCCACAGACACCCTTTGAGCCCTGGCACCGCCCCAGGTGCAGCCGGCTGGGGAGGGACCACGGGAGGTTGGCTCCAGGGTGTGTCTGGCCCGTCTCGCCCAGTCCCACCCCGCCGGCCACCTTCTAATTAATTTTCTTTCAAAGTGCACAAATTCGTGCACCGGGCCTCTAGTATTACATAATAGTAAAAACAAAAGGGCATTTTGATGGTATTGCCTAAAGTAGGTCATTGGATCTTGAGCATGACACTGTAATTTGCTCAGAGATTTCTACTGATTAAGGAAATATCCATCTCTACCTAATTTATAGATATTTTTGAGGAAATAGAAGTTGAATTTTCAGTTCAGTTTCTTTTGATATGATCTTATCTTTGAGTTATCAGCACTATATTAAAATGATGTATTAGAATCATATTATTGGCATAATTAACATAAGGAACTGGAATACTGAACATCCCTTATGTTGTAGGAAAATTTCCCAATTTCATTATGGAGTGCACTTTTTAACCCTTTGCGGTCCAATTTTATTTTTGGAATTCAAACAGTCTGTTCCAAATTAATTGACGGGATTGAATGTTGAACCAGTTTGCGGTGTCTCACCCTTGACGTTGGACCTGCTCCTAGCGCCTGGTCTGTCAAGTCAGCCTCCACGTTGGACCGAAAAGGGTTAACATGCACCAATATTAATATTTTATTTTGGACTTTTTTGCACTTATGTCCATTAGCAATATGTATTGGCAAGGTTTTTTTGTGATTTTTTTTCTTTTTAAGATCTTTATCACATTAATGAAAAACAACAACTCAATTTTAAATAGTACCAATTTGCATCTAAATAATTAAAGAAGAATTGTAAAGAACAAGTAGCCTAAGATTTAATTGGGAATATGTGTATTTTAGTCTTATGAGGTACCCTGGCTGGTGTGGCTCAGTTGGTTGAGTGACATCCCATGCACCGAGAGGTCACTGGTTCCCCATCAGGGCACATGCCTGGGTGGTAGTCTCGATCCATAGTAGGAGGTGTGCAGGAGGCAACCAGTCAATGTTTCTCTCTTTCTTCCTCTCTCTCTAAAATCAATCAAAACATATTTTTAAAAAATAAAGTCTTATGAGGTAATTTATTCTAAACTGGTACAAAATTTATAATTTTTATCAGTTTTAAAACTAATCTCCTATATTTTCTTTCTTTTTTTTTTTTATTTTGCAACTTGATGGGGTTTTTTCCTTGTCTGTCTTTTTTTTTTAACTTATTTTATTTTTTATTGAATTTATTGGAGTGACATTGGTTAATAAAATGATATAAATTTCAGGGGTACAGTGCTATAATGCATCATCTGTAGTTTCTCCTACATTTTCTACTAGCTTCACTAGACCCGGTGCTACTTCTTCCTGAATGTTTAGAACATGAACAAGGCACTGGTTAAACTTTGCCTAGTATCTCATATATTTTATGTGATGTTTATGTGTTTCATTTGGTGCTATTTTTGTCAAGTTTTGATGTCAATATTACCCTTGCTTCATAAATACAAAGTTTCTTTTTCCTCTGGTGAATAGTTCGGAAGGATTATCAGAACTCACTGGTGAATTTGAGACCGCAGTGCTTTGCTGGTTAACACACGGATTATATTCCAAGCTCTTTCAGGTAACTGCTCTGCTAAAATGCTTAATATTTTAGTGGTGAATTTTGATATTTTATTATTTATTGGAAAAATATTTTAGTAAGGTTTTCCAATTTATTTGCATTATTAAAGCAAAATATGCTTTTTTGTAATTCTATCTAGTTTGTCTTTTATGTGTCTCTGCATTTTACTATTTTAAACATCATTTGATTAGTACTTTTAGGAAATTTTTTTGCCTCTAATTTATTGGGTTTTTCAAAGAATCACTCTATTGATTTGATTATTAAATCTACTTTTTTGTTTTCTCTTTCACTAATATCTATCTTTGTCTTCACTAATTCCTTCTGAATGGTTTTCTTGGACTTACTTTGTTTCCTACATTTCTTATTCAATTCTAATTTTAATGCATTGTGTTCAGAGAATGAGATACTTTTCATTTAATAGAATTAGCTGCAGTTTCCTGCATAATACAATATGTGGTCAATTTAGTTGATGTTCTAGGCACTTTATCCTGTGTTTTCATGGTATAAAATTACATAGCCTATGTGGCACTTCCTACTATGAAACAATTCTATGGCCCACTCATACCCCCAGAGTTTTGTGTTCCAAGTAAGGATCTCCTGACGAAATACTTCAAGTCTTGAAGGACAGTGTCCAAGATACATAAAAATATACACAATCCTCAGTATGTTTATTCATTTGGCCAAAATTTCACACTGCTTGGCTTCTACTGTTTGCAATTAGTAGACTGGGTTTGGGCCATGTACTAGTGTCATTGGAGATGAAGGTCTGTTTGTTTGCTTAATTTGTGTCATTTTAATTGGTGTTAGAAATGGAGTAAATTGGAAATACCTTAACATTGCCATCTGTAGCTGGAAGTATTACACTTTATGTTTACTAAAATAGTTTAAATTTTATTTTATCCTGATGAAGCTTATGAGTTTTTGAAACATTCAGTGTAGAGAAAAAAAAAACTTATATCAACTTTTTAACCTTCTCTACCAGAAAACATTTAAGAGGCTTTTAAATTTTTCAATTTTTATCTGTTATTATGATGTTCAGAACTTTGTCATTATAGTAGACTGAATAAAACTCCATACAAAGGCACATAGAGATTACAGATAATATATCACAAAAAATGAAATGTAATGCCATGCCAAGCTTGAAACTGAGAAATTATCTAAGGTGCCAGAAATAAAGAGGGAATTCAAAGTCAGAAAGATAATTGTAGTGAACATAAAATTGTTCATAAGAACTTACAGGAAAGTGGGCCTCATGCCAATCTGGGAAACGTGGTTGGAATTGATCCACCTTTATAAGTGTTACCTTATCTGTAGTAAGGGACTGAAATCTCAGCCAACAAGCCTGAAAGTTTTGTAAAA